GGCTGCAACAAGCTGCAACAACAGGCTCAAACAGAGTAGTGATTGGGAGGATGGCGTAGGACCAGGCAGTGTTTCGTTCCGTTGTACACAGGGTTGCTACGAGTTGGAACTGACTAGAAGGCACCTAACAACGACAACAACAAGTAATAGAGCCAGAGAGCTGGGTTTGAGTCTAGCCCTGCTACGGCCTCACTGTCTAATTGTAGGCAGGTCCCAGCCTCTCCCTGGGTAATTCTCAGTCTCTGCACCTGTGAAATACAACGATGCCCACCAGGGCTGTGGTGAAGCCTGAGGAGGCCACAGTTCTATGAGGCACTGCCTTCTGAACAGACAGCACTGCATTGGGACTTGACTAACAAAACTAAAAGGAAAAAGGTTTGTGTTAAACTATGTTGAACCCCAGAGCTAAGTTTCACGATCAGCCCTCCAAGCTTTGTCTAGGGGAGGTGGATTTCGATTTCTCCGCCAAGGTCTTCTTGTTGGGGCTTACCGTCTCCTTCAGCCCAGCCAGTGGAGAGAGGTGCCAGGGCCAAGCTGGTGAGGAAGCAGGTTGGGGTGGGTAGGGGAGCTAAGCAGGCTTGGCTCCCAGAGGCCTGAGTCAGCGGGCAGGCGAGCAGGCGGGGCGGGCTCAGTTCTCACATGCTTGGGGAGGAGATGGTGCAGGAATGTTGCTCCTGCCTGGGCTTGGGCCCTGCCCACCACATCCTGGCCCTTCCTCTGCTCTGGCTCCAGATGGAAGATGCCTGGAGCTTGGTTAGGTGGGTTCAGCCAGGGGCCTTCAGAGGATGGCCCAGGCCACAGAGGCTGCCAGGAACTGGCCTCTGACCCAGAGCACCTCCCAACCTGCTGGGTGCTGCTGGAGAGCCACCACTGCTCACTAGCCCTGGTCCCGTGTCTGCACAATGAGGAGCTGAACTAGGTGCTGTTGGATCATCCCAGCTTCTCCCCGCCAGGCACTGGCTGTACCCCCAGACCTCTTGGGGCATCTACCTGGCTGTGGTGCTTGTAACTTGCTCTACTCTGCCTCAGAGACACTCCTCCTGGGGTTGCTTGTCTCTCAAAGCTCTCCTCTGAAACCTCTGATGAGCTGAGCTTCAGAGCTGGGGGCCCAGGAGGCGGTGCAGGTGGGGTCCAGACACCTTTGTGTGACACATACGTTATATGCTTATGTGACTTTGTGGTGAACAAACTTCACTCCTGTGGTCTGTGTGTGGGACCATGGGAGGGGATGGCTGTGGGTGATGGCGTGGCTGCGACTCTGATGCTGTGAGCAGATGACGATGCACGTGTGGCCAGGCTGAGTGTGTGTGTGGCTGGGAGTGCAACAGTGCGAGCAGAGGACTGTGCATGTGCACAGGTGTGGCCTGTGTGCCTGCGTGTGATGTGTCTGCTTTGGGCCAGGTGTCTGAGACTCTGAGTGGCTGCATCTGGGAATGTGAGGACACGTGGATGATCATGTGGTTGTGCGATGGGATAGAGGGGGCAGTGCTGGGCTGAGGCTGAGGCTGGGGCCAGCCATGGCACAGTGGCTCACAACCCTCCTGTGTCTCCGAGGGGACAGGATGCAGGATCTGAGGTCCATCTCTGCCCCTACCCCCCACATGTGACTGTGTAAGACAAAGCAGACTCCCTTTCCTAGGCTGGGCAAGATTGGGGATCAGGGGTCCCCCACCCCCACTCTCAGGTCCTGGTAATTGCCCAGGGCAGAAAGAGAGGCCTTGTTTTCCAACCCCCATAGAGCAAAGTGAGCGAGGGAACTAGAGGCAGCTGGGCCCAGCTCAGGCCAGAACATCTGCCTGGCATGTGACTGAGGCCAGCCAGCAGGCCCTGCCACCACCAAGATGCCCCCCCTGCCAGACCCCTACTTCTACTGAGGGGGGCCCTGGCCAGCCCAGCTCGATGCCAAATTTCCCCCGACACCCCAACCCACACAGAGATAGAAACCAGAGACAGGGGCCTTGACATCCTCACTCCCCACCACACACACACATACACGCACACAACGTCCCAGCCTAGAGACCTCAGGGGTACTGGAGTGGGCCTGGCCCCCCCCAAGACTCCACTTTCTGATTCTCCTCTGAGGTCCAAGGCCCTCCCGACAACACTGTCAGACCAACTCCCCCACCCTGAGGACGGAAGGGGTAGGAGGGCCGTCTGAAGGAAGGGACACAAAGAGGGCAGTGCTTATCCCCGGGCAGGAAGCACTGATAGGGGGATTGCTGAGCACTCTGGTCAGGAAGAGCATTCCCACTACTCCTACCCAGATTGGCCTCTGAAGGGGACCTTACCCCTGAGGTCAGAGTCCCCTCTGCAGAAGGCCACATGGGGGTCAAAGCCAAGAAGAGGTTAAGGGCAGGAAGTTCCTTGTATGGGCTGGAAAAATAAAGAAAAAAAAAGGAGGGAGAAGGGAGGCGAAAATTCCCCAGAAAGTCCCAAATCTGACCTAATTTTGACCCAGGGCCAAGGACGCCATTCCAGAAGTTCCTGGGAGGACACTTTGCCCCAAACGTGCCTGCCCACCCCTTTCCCCCTGCACCTGCTGATTCTTACCCCAGCTCACCCCCATGAGCTCCTTGTAGCCCTGGCCTGCCCGACGCCGTCTCTGACTGCCCTGACCCTTGACACCCTCCCTCCACCAGATCCCCATTGGCCCTGCAAGAGAACCAAAGTGTTAACAATGAGGCTTTTTTCTCCTATGTATGAACTCCTGTTTATCCAGCCTGGGGCACCCCCAAGGGCACAGCTGGGGGGTTCTCAGTCGCCCCAGTATGGGAGCCACTGCAGGGCTGGGCACCCAGGACTGCCTGGAGAAGGACACAGTTTCTATCCTCCCCGCTCTCCTCCCTGGACAGGGGCTTTCCTGGGCAAGGCCAGGACTTGCCTCCCTGGAGAGAGGAATCACCTGTCCATTAGACTGTCTAGGGGCGCAACGTCCCATCCCTTCTACGAGCAGCCTAGACACAGAACAGCACAGCCAAGCCCCTGGCAGGACTCCACCCATTTTAGAGAGAGGAGGGAGGTCTGGCATCCAGCCAGGACCTATGCCACCTTCAGCTCCCCAGCCCCACACCTCCCACCAGCACAAGCCTCCCCCAGCTTTTGGGGTTCTGAGGTAAATTTTGTGTTGAGCGTCACCTCAGAATCTGGTCCATCAGGGTTCTATCCTTCCCCTTACCCTCATCCAGTCCAGAATCCACACAGAAACAGGCATGCTTTTGTTATTTTAATTGTAAAAGGTTTATCAAGAAAAAAAGAAAGAAAAAAGATTCAAGCAGCAGCAGCCAAGAGCAGGCCACGACCTCCTGGGGGGCTAGCTCCCCCCCACCCCACTGCTGGCCACAGCAGTCTGGGGGTAGAGGAGGCAGCAGCCCCCTGAGGATGTAAACATAGGTCAGAGGATAGCACAGCCTGACCCAGGAGCAGGGGCTTGCGTCACAGTGAGGCTGGCCTTGAGTAGGTGGGCCCAGGAGCCCTGGGGGGTGGGCGGGCAGGCCTTGTCCTCTGTCTTTCTCCCTTAGGTTTCCCATTGTGCAACAGGAAGGAGTCAGGGAAGATGGTGCGGGGGTGGAGGCCCCTGAGACTCTGGGGTCCCAGCCTGCTCTGGAGTATGGGGAGTTATTGCTGGTGAATTCAAATATCAGACAACTTCTGAGGGTCCCCTCCAGAAAGGTGCCATCAGGGCCCTGGGGTCCGTGGCTCGTCTCAGTGCCTCGAGCCCAGGGCTGGGAAGGATGTTGCATGGTCCCCTAACCAGGGGAAGATAGGGCTCAGTAGGTGGAGAGTCAGAGGCCTGCAGGAGGGAGTTGTCTTGCAGCCCCCCGCTGGAGGGGACATGGAGTGGGGCAGAGGAGCAAGGGAGGGACATGGCGAGCAAGTAAGATCCCGCCCCTCTATCACACAGGCTAGAATCGCCACCAGAAGGGCACCAAACTTATGAGGGAAAGGTAAGGGGGAGAAGAGGAGATGTTTTCATGCCTCCATCCATTGCCCATGCTGCTCTTCTCCCTTGAAAGTCCTTCTCCCCATTTTCTGTCTGGCAGGCTCCTTGTCATTCCTCAAGACACTGCTCAAATGTTACCTATTCTGTGGAGTCTTCCTTGACTGGTAGAATGCAGGAGTCCCTTCTTTGAGCTTCTAAACTCAAAACCTGTTGCCATAGAGTCGATTCTGACTCACAGCGATCTATAGGACAGAGTAGAACTGCCCCACATAGTTTCCAAGGAGCAGCTCATGGATTTGAACTGCCGACCTTTTGGTTAGCAGCCAAGATCTTAACCACTGCACCACCAGGGCTCTTTTGAGCTTCCAAGAACCCCCTATTTAACCA